TCTCTTTCGAAATAAGCTTGCAGTCTAGATGTAGCCAGAGTGTCAAGAAATCTCCTGCCAAACCGACCTCATTTCCTGCTTTGGCAGGGTTGCTGGCCTAGTGCACAGGGGAAACGGTAGACCCCCCCGCTCTATTTTAAGACATCGCCCCATGTGACACTAACACAGCAGAGGAATGGGGCGTAGGTGACGTGCATAGAAGGGAGCCTGGTTGAAAGACCACATTCCTGGGAGTCACCAGTGGTTACCTGTCAAACCGGGAGGGCAGCGCTGCTGGTGTCCTACAGAGGTCAGTTCTGGGTCGGTGCCGGGGCGTTTTCATTCCCGGCGCGGAGGAGAGTGTAGCCAGACAGCCCCCCCCATCTCATCCATCTTATTTGCCTCTCTGAGGTTCCTGAAGCATACAGGACAGAGAAGGAGCAATAAAATCAGCATAGTCTATGCTGGCTCATCTGATCCTGAGAAGCTGAAAACATAGATATGAGGAGAGAACGATTAAGGCAATAAGCTGGCCTCGAGGCTGCGAGAAGTGCCCGGCTGGCACCCATGTGGATACGAACACACAGCAGTCCCTGGGAGAGGAATCCCCCACTGAGAAAAGAATCTCCAGTACTTCCAATTTAATCCTCTCAACTCTCTCTTACAAGTGTAAATTAAGTTCACAACTCCCTTGTAAGAACTGGTCTCACAAAAGGCAGACCAGCCCCATTTGGCATCACAGATAAGAAAGAGAAATACGTGACCCCATGAGTATAAAGATGGGTCCAGCACACACTCAACTTTGAGTGTCATTCTACCCTCTACCTGCTGGTCGGGTTAGGTGTTTGACCTCCCAAGGTCTAGTGGCCTAACACTTATAGAAAGATTCACCAAATTTCAAGGATGAGTATTCACATCTGAAATTAAGCGGCGAGAGGCACAGAAGGGGGTAAAAATTGTACCTGGATGAGGTCCTCTGTCTTAAGTGTACACAGACTTAGAGCTCTTTAAAGATTAAGCTGTTACTTGGTACTATTATTTCTGTTTTCCTATCTTTATCTTCTTTGTAACCATTTTTAAGATCTATATTTTGCTAGCAGTTAAGAAATAGAACAATAGCCATTGCAACCATATGATTTATAAGCTTCCTCAATAAACCTGTAACTGTTTAAGCTTTAACCTGACTCCTTCAGTTCCTGTAATAGAACCAAGCACAATTTAAAAGAACTTCAGCCGGTCATAA